CAGTGATGTAGCCCTAGGTTACATCTGTCTGTGCCCCAAGTCAGCTTTTGCAAATACTGTAGGGAGTGCGATGCCCACATACTCCTAGCCAGTGTTTGCCTATGAGGGCCTCATGAGCCTCAGCATGGCTTGGAGATCTCTCACCTCTACTGTTGAAGGGGCACACAGAGATTCCTAGTGCTTGGACACCAAGCCAGTGAAGTTCACTCAAACAGCAGCATCCTGAGTTAAAAATGTGGTGTGACTGTGAATAGCAAGGGAGGGTCCCGTTTGTGACTCTTCTCCCAATTGCTTTCCTTGCTTATAACCCCCGGAGATCAACTTACCCAAAGCATTTATGTCACAACAAGCAAGATAAAGTCACCCAGGCTGAAAACTAACCTTCTGTGGGCTTTCCTTTCTGTCTTTTTTTCCCAAGATCCTGGATGAGTCAACAAAGAAATGACACTTTTATTGTGTGCTTATGGAACAGATTTAGTGGGATACAATCAAGTAATTTGAGTCACATTACAACCTAAAGTCACTGCAAGCTGGTGGGAAATGATTTTCAGATACTAGGAGTCCTTATGAGAAGAAAAAAAAAACCCAAACAGTTAATTGCCAAGAAATTTGGCATGTTTAAATTACACATTTGTAATGTTTTATAATTTATTTCATTCTTAATAATTCAAAACTGACTGTGCATTTCCTTCCCTGTAAGTTCATTCAATGTGTCTGAAGATTACTGGTTTGTTTCTTGGAGTTTTATAGATCTATTGCATTTCTGAAGGGAAGGAAGTGTTGGTTTTGGCACAGATGCTAAGAATATTCTTGTTCTGAAAATGTGAAGCAGTGTTCTAGTGCACTGCTAATCTGGCCTCTTTTATGTTGATACAGAGAAGGGTGTAGTGGTTTTCCTACCCTACACATTATACCACCGTGCATGATTCTCCTATTCTCATGAATTGTTCAAGTAATTGATAGAAGGAAAATATTAGTATTGATAATTAATGTTAACAATCCATATGTGATTTAAAACAATTGCACTAATTGCAGACTAGTTTCCGTGCTTACATTCTTGAAGAAAAGTTTTAGAAGGCTAGTCTGACTCTTATAAGAAGACACCAAATTTAATTTCTTGGAAAAATGATGCTGTTATTGATTCTTACTTAAATATTGCTGCTTTTGACACATAAAAATAGGGTATGGAAGAAATACGTAAGGCCTGATGGTGAGACATGAATGAGACTGTGTCTGTGCAAGAGAGTGAACAATAAACTAGACAACTAAGACCGTGGATAAAGCCAACTTCCCAAGAGCCAGAACAAGGACCAAGCAGAAATAGTGTATACTTTAGTTGGAGGAGAAAGTAATGAGCCAGCGGGAAAAAAAAAGAGATGTTAACTACAAAGCATTGCAGAAATTATGTGATTGTGACACTCTGCTTTTAAAACCTTTTGTTGGACAATACTGTCATGTAACTGTGTCATGTTACGAAGAGAACATGATTCTGAAGAGAGGAAGAAAGTTTTTGTTGGAAAAGCACAGGGGAATTCACAGAAACCTGAAACTGAAAACACAAGTATCTTGGACACTTAAAGCAACACCTCTCTCTTAACTTCCCCCTGCACTTCTCCTCCTGCTACCAGAGGCAAGGGGGGGGAAGAGGAGGAGGGTATATTTCAGCCAGATCCAGCAAGACGAATGGCATGTTTCTGAAACATTCAATGCACCTAGAAACTCTGTAGCTTAGTTTGAAATGTATAATAAAAAATGTGTTGAAGAAAAAAGTATTTAATGTCAGTATTGGATCTCTAGGACTGTGTATTTTTGAAGGAGAAGAGGAAAAAGGAGTGTACCTTTGTAGTTGACATCTGTGAATGATGAAAAAAAATGTGAGAATACAGGTTTAGGCCACTAGAAGGTATCCAAAAGCTAAATATTATTTTCAATACATTTTAAACCATTAACAGAAATCTGGGACTTAGCAGGTTTCTCTAGTTATGAGGAGAAGCTGGACACAAAATTTGATATCTACCACTGCATGCTAGATATCTATTGCATAGATCAATTATTAGTTTGGAAATTACTGCGGTGGCTGAAAATGCACATCTTCCCTTGGACGGAAGTTACCCCACCTCAGCTCAGCCCTGCTAAGGTGTGAGCCTTTCCCAGCCTTTCAGCACAAAATTGGCAAAATCTGTTGGCATATAAGAATAAAGGCCACAGATAATCACTCTGGCATGTTCTGGAAAGGGCTTGTGTCTCCCAACTCTGAATTATTCCATGAGCATTAATCAGCCCTGAAGATGGGTCTTGTGTGATAATTAAATATTGTTATTCCCCCACCTTGCTACAGATGGAGCATGTCAGACCTGAAAGCCACAGACCAAGGACTTAAGGGAGCACAAATGATCCAAGTCAAACTGAGAATCTTTGTGTTTGTACCTTTCCACCAGCCGTCCTTAGGGGATCTGTTTGTAGAGAAAACATATCTCTCTCTCTGTTACTCAGCCTGCAGTGCATTCAGGGTTTCCTCAACCACAGAAGAGAAATATCACCAGAAGATGAGATGAACCAAAAAACCAATTAAAATGTTTTGTTAAGTGAGTTCACCATGGTAAAGGAATCAGCTGAAGACAGCTAGTGAGTTATCCCACTGCCACAGCAGTTTTTTTTGTTTTTGCAGAGGAGCAGCCTCCTCAGCCCCTGTCTGCCTGTGGTTTAGCAGATAACATCATTACTGGTTAGCATATTTGGCAACCTGTTTTTTTCCCTCAAGGCTTGTTTTGGGAATGTATACCAGCAGAGCAGAACTGAGACCAGTGTCCATTTGTCAGCAGGGAGGTGTCTGGTGGCACAGATGAGGTTTTTTTAATCCCCTAAGAATTTTTACATTCTCTGTATAGACGGGCCCAGAGGTTTCTTCCTTTCAGTTTAGTTTTTTTATTCTTTATGCAGGAAATTCCACATAAGATTGAGGGGAGAGGAAAGGAAGAACAGATGCAACGCTGCTAATTAAATTAGGCGTTTCCTAAAAGCAAAGACTAGGCAGTTCAATCTCATTAAAAAAATACCAGCATGGAGCCCATTCTTTCTGATTTGAGTGATTACTTGCACATCCAGATGTCAATGCAGGGGAAACTATAAATGTAGAGAGGTTTATTTTGTATTAGTTTGTGTATTTCTTTATAATTCAACCTTTGCACCTACCATCTTTGGCTTTTTCTAATTTATTTTTTTAACATATGGAGTGGTAGAAGAAGCTTTGAGGCAAACCAAAAAATGTCCTCCTTGCAGGGTAAGATAAAAGGACCATGTTTTGGGTGAGAGAGAAGGGAGGGAAATTGAGATAATACTGACATTGTGCAAGAGATGACCCTTCAAGGAGATGGGTAGCAAAGTGAAAAGTCTTCTACGAGGACTTCCAGTAGCCCTCTCTAGCCCAGTAGCTTGCTATGAGGTTAGGTGAGAAAGCCAACCATTAGTTTATCTCAATGCAATTATTGTTGGTATCATATTGGTGGCTTTTTTTCTGACAAATTTACAGGTATTTTCTAACCCAAGAATTATGGCTGAGGTCCCACTGAGACAAACACGTATGTGTGGAGTCACATATACTTGCAAAAATTTGTAGTGTCAGATTGTGATTTATGTTATATTTTACTGTAAATTTCTGTAGCTTAAGAAAACTGTGACAATTTTTCAAAATATTTGTTGTGTCAGTTAAAATAGAGAAGGCAGAGCTCTGGTAGTAGCAACTATTTGCAGTTGGAGTACATGAAGTCATTGGACATCAGAGAAGATGAGAGGTGGATCAATGCTCCCCAGAGCTCCCTGGTAGCAGAATAAGGTACGTTTAGGGTCTGGGATAGGTTGAGTCCCTTCAAGAGCTCTGGGTCTCCCTAGTTCTGAGTAGGTGCCATAAGAAGTAAACAGGATCCTTCAGTTTTGTGGATATAGCCCTACACTTCCTCCAGTGTTTTGGTATTTGCCTGAAATGAGAGCCACCTGCATTCAAGTGCATGTCAGTGAAATTACTGATGAGAACTTTTCCTTGCAGAAAAACATACATAATGTTTTTTAGTTATAGTCCTTCCAGCATTTGCACTAATTACTCACCTGTTCCTACCATTAGGTAGCTTTGTACTTATAAAAACAACATCCAGATATGCCCAAAAAAAGTACTATGACTTCGTATAAAATCAAGATTACATTCTTTTCAACAGCTTGACCAAAGCACACCGAGGAGGACAGTATTCTAGCACTATACATTTAGCTCTGGGTTTTAAGCTCTGGCTTGTTTTAGTTATGAAATAGGTGAGTTTATTAAAACATTATATGGAGTCAAAGGTCCTTTCTAAATCCAGCATGTAGGGGTGTGTACTCCAGAGTATTACAGTAATGAGGCACTTTCCTCTGCACAAATAACAAGAGCCACTTAATATTTTGTATTTGTGTTTTTCTGTGCTCATTTGCCTCCCTGGGGAGCAGGTGCTCAGCCCAGGATGCTGTCACTGCTGAGGCAGGGAACTGTGCATCTGGGTGAGCTCTACGCTCCTGCCAGGGGACATTCCTAGCCACTGGCTCCTGTTCTTATGCTGACCCTTGCTCCAGCACTGGTCTGTGTAGAAGTGTGTAGTATTAGTGATAAACCATGGTATTTCTAGCACACAAGCAAATTAACATATAGTCTTTTGTTTTGCTCTGAGCAAATGTATGTGCTATAGTAATCCTTTTTTTTATTTCCTTGTTATTAATTATTTTTTCTCCTTAGTTTTTCTCAAAGCTAAACTTCCCACAAAATTCAATTATACTTTAGAAGTCTGTGTTGAGATGAAAGATAATTAAAAGTCCACTCAAACCTTTGCTTCCCAAGTGGTTTAAAAGACAGAAGTTTAAAGTTAGTGTAGAGGTTGACTGAAGTGGGAAGGCAGTGTTGGTAATGGAGCTGTTTGGATTGGAAGCTTTGAGGTGACATCAGAATGATCTTCATTCTCTTCAGAGCTGGTGTTACCAGAAATAGGATCACATTTCCCCTGGGACCTTGACATAATCCAAGGACCTGTTCCTTTTGTTGACTGGTCCAGCATTGCTGAACCGCTTTGGCAATTTGCAGTGGATCACCAGCTGGATGCTTGGCCAGGCTGCTCCTCTTCATGCTGATGCCCATCCGAACACTATAAGGCAGCCTTGAAAATGCCAAGGCTGCTTACAGCCCTGTTGATATGGGCTATATACGTGTTCACAAACACAACAGTTTTGGTTTAAGTGAAAATTCTTATACAACTGGTTCCCAGTGACCACTATTCCTAAATACATGAAATGTCATAAGGTTTATCAAAAAAACTGAGTTAGATACATCTTGCATACCTATGCTGTTCAAGTTTAGTATGTTATTCCTAATCCTATACAGGAGTTTAAAAAAAAAGAGCCAGTTAACACTTGATATTTAGTTTAATTTTATTCCTTCTAGAACAAGAAAATACTCAGTGAAGGTTAGCGTTTCTCTTTTAGCAATTTTTTTTAAACCTGAGTCAGGCTGTGCTGTTGTGCTTACCTACATTCCTTGTATTATGCTTTTGTATTATTATGTGGAAAATCTCCTACCGATTATGGAAATCTTCTGTTTTGCTTAATGTGTCCTCTATATATTTCATCATGATTTCAGGTTTTTTCCTCATATGAGCACAGTCAGTGAAAGGCAATGCCTGCCCAGGGCAAGGAACTGTGGTGTAATGCACCAGTCCCTTTTTGGGTCTCTCCTGGGGTGAGAATTACCACTCTCTCCCGGACTTCAGCATCCAGCTGGAGTGAAAAGTGAGCATAGGGTCTAAAAATGTTTAATATGTGTGCCAAGTACTTGAATGTTAGCAAGAGTGGGAGGGAGGTTTAAGGGAAATTACAAACCTTTTTCAAGTCAAGAAAAATGACTGAACCCTTTATCACTTCTTTTCATTTACAAAATGTCAAAACCGCTCCCCTAAGCTTGGCAAAGTTGCCATCATTTGTTTGGGAGCCGCTTGAAGGCATTCTTTGAAAGAATAATTATTAACCTTTGTTCAGTATGACAAGGAGAATTTTTCAGGAGGTATTTTCTGGGGGAGGTAAATTGGTAGGGATTGCAGGAGGGCACTCTGCTTCTTTGATTGGAGCTGAACAGGCTTCAAACCATGATGTCAGAGTAGCACTGGCATGTGCCTTGCAGAAGGGCACGGGGACTGAGTTTGACTCCCGTTTGCCTACCCAGGTCTCCAGTATTCCCTCTGCGCCCACCAGCATGCGGACAATATCATCCATCATCTGTGAGATCTCTGCTTTCCTTTTCCTCCTCGGATCCCTGCAGTGATGCCATTTTGAGGGGCGCTGAGTGGAAAGAGCAGAGACCCAAGCAAGCCCTGGCTACCAGGATGGGCTGCCCACTTCTGGGCAAATCCTCAGAGAAAGACCCCTGTAGAAATATCACCAGTGGAAGCAGTGTTTGCTCGTTACTTTGTGGGAGACTATGTCCACACATAGATTCATTATTAAATAAACATATAAATATCCCTTTGTCTCCCTTGTTGGGTGCATCAGTTGCTGGCCTGGGATGAGAGGATGAGAAACAGTTGGGACAGGCAGAAACTGCCAGCAGGAATTTCTGAAGTATTCCTGTGGGCTTTCCTAAGAAATGGCTCGCTTTCCCAGGGACTGCTGGAAGCATGGGAGCACTCAGTCACATAATGTTCCCTCTCTAGGAAAACATTTGGTAGTAGTTTAAAAAAGAAAGCTTTACAGAGCTTAAATAATGTCAAAGATGAATTTGGTGAAAACTGATGCTGTACACACTTTACTTAGGAGAATTTTGAATTTCCAGTGCTGCTTGGAGTTGCTAGCGATAGTTCCAGGGCTTGCCAGTCATATTCAGGTTTTTTGCACCACCTTTTTTATTTTAATCAGGTTATTATATACTTTTAAGCACATGGCTAAATATTAAGCTTTCATGTTCAATTCACCTGTATCAACATGGTCATGGCACTCATAAAAATACCACAGAATTTAGTAATAGTAAAATTAATGAAATCCTAACAATTGCAAGAATGGCTTCAATTTCATTCAGTTTTTAAAGTAATTCATGTCAGTGTTTACATGCAACACGTTTGTATGCTGGCTTGTAGTTACTCAAGAGTCATATAGCCTGGTTTACCTCTAAAGTAAAAAGGAATAATAAAAAGATTTTTTAAATGAAAACTAAATTTTTTAAGGGTTTAAAGACAGTCTTAAAGGAAACACAAAATACAGTGAAGTGTGTCATTCCATACTGTGGGAGTGACCGATGTCAGCATTAATTTGGCTAAAATTTGGCTAAATTATTCTTGTTGTCTGTATTGGGTTTTGTACAAAGTAAACAAATCAATATATTGTCTGATTGACAATCAGCCTGAAAGCATCTTAATGGTAGCTGGAAGGCTTAAAATTTCTCACTGGTCTACAGTGACTGTTAACTCTTAACTGTCCTCAGAACCACAATGGACGGCAGTGCAGTGGTGTGTGCTGGCATAACTGAGTGGTCTTGGATTTCCCCCATCATGCAAACAGGCATCTCCTCTGGCACCTTTTGAAACTCTTATTGTATGTGAACTCTTACATGTGTGCTGAAGTACTGTATGAGTATTGTTAGGCCCTGTGATAGTGTAGCACTGAAACACATTCGTGGGGAGGAGATGGAGTCTGGTATTTTTTCTGTTGTTTATTGCTTTCCAGCTTAAGGGGTGTTCATCCAACTCCAGCTAAAGCAATTCAGTTTAAACTGGCACATAAAAGTTCAAGTTGGTGCTTTATTTTAGCCTACAGACAACAAAGATATATTTTATTATTGCTTAATGTCAGTGTCTGAATGAGAGGAAGTTAGGAAGGGACATGCAAACAAAATCGCAGGAACTTGTGGATAGCTAAAAAATTTTAAAAATGCAACAGCTGAACAGGTGGCAATGAAAATCAGAAATCTGTTGTTCAAGCTGTTCTCTTCCATTTTATACTTAGAACTGAATCAGGAATGGTCTTTCTGGTTTTTTTTGGTACTGCTCTTGTTACAAAGAGGTCTTGATCTATGGCCAGCCCTCTTAAGCAGCAGGATAATACAGTCATTCATTATTAACAGAAAGCAAGGAGAAGTAGGAACCTCAAATACAGCATGAAACAAGCAAGTGGGGAAATGAAGGTATCAATTATGTACGTGTCATGTTGACGATGCTCTTACAGAGTAGATGTTTTCCCCTAGGGAAAGAATCTGCTGGGAGAGCGGAATGTATTCTCAGTGCCTTGTCTGATAACAAGATGGCAACTGCCCATTGGAAGCCTCAACAAGCCTCTTTTTATTAGCCCTTTTCCCTTCCAGGAGGACTTCAAGCTTTGGTTAGTCCTGGGCTGGTGCCTGGACCTAAAGGGAGAGCACTGCTGGCTCTCCCACATGGAGGTGGGATCCTGGTTTCAAACCCTACCTCCACAAGCATCTGCACCCTTGGGATGCGCTGCGAACAGGCAGGCTCCAACACAGCATCCCAGTGCAGTGAGCTGAAGGGCAACAATTTTCTCATTTGTAATTTGTTCCAACTAAAGTTTTTTTTCACCAGTGCATCACTTCCATAAACACTGATTCCATGGAAAAATTGAAGTCCAAAATATGTATGAATACAGCCTTCAAGCCTACATGAAGATGGTACTACAATTCCACTGGGTTTTGCTGTAGTGATTTGTGGTGCCATCAGCTTGCATGACAGAATTACTGTTTCTTGATTGTGTAGGAAAAGGACCACACTGGTTTTTAAAGTATAACTGAATCCCATCTTTGGGATTCACACAGACCTGTCCTTTTACTTGCCCCTGAGTGTCCAAGTTTAAACTGGCAAAGGAAGGGCAGCTAGGCTGACAAATATGTCAGCTTGTGCCTGATTTTCCCCACCTTGGCGCTAGTAAAGAACAAGATTTAGGGAATAAAACAGCTGTTTGCAGTGTGGCTGGGGACGGAGAGAGCGATGAAACATGATGCGGAATAAAAGTCAGCTGCAACTTGGCAACTCCCATTTCCTCATAGCAGAGAAGATGACTTAGGTTGTATTCAGAATTGTGATATTGTAGGCATAGAGTGATATGAATTATTTTTACAGGCTGTGGTTTTAGAGTTGGCAAATTGGCATTTTGACTGAGAGGAACTGTATGGAATCATTAATAGGTTCTTCTGAGCATTTTGGAGTTTTATTATTATTGTTTATCCAAGCTGGTATCTAGCAACAAAGACAAACATTTTAAAGACAGCTAAAAACTGAACTTAAAAATAAACAGTTTTCTCTACAAAGGCGGCAGAGTTAAAAGCCTGTACAAACATTTGCAATGACAGCAACAATCAGAAATTTGCTAGTTGGGTTTAAAAAGCCTTGACCTCCCTGGTGGGGTTCTGAGGCCAGCAAGGTCATAAACAGAGACTGTTTGCTTTGGGTTTGCCTTACATGCGTTTGGACAAGTGCAATATGCTGTTTCCTGTACTAGAAAAAAGGTGTTGAAGTGGTGCCAGTACAGAAGAAAACGTTGCTCTTCAAAGGCAGCACAGTGAGCTCTGGGCTGTACCGTCCCAGGGATTTAATTACATGACTGATCAAATTGCTCCTAAGGTTTTGGGTACATAAACATTCTGTTATTTGTAGATCAGAAGCTCCTTGTCATAATACTTAAGAGCAGGGAAGCACTGGGATGGGAGTCCACAAAACCAAACCTGCTTTCAGATGTGTAAACACAATGTTAATTGTGAAAGATTTGGTTCAAGATAATAATAATAAAGGTAAAACCGTGTAATGTTCATACAGAATTGTATTTAGCAAGGGTGCTGGGTAGTCTGGAATGAGATAGAGTGGGATAGGATGGAATAGGGAGATGTGTACCTCCTTCCCTTCCTGTTGAAGAGGAAAATAGCTGATGATGTTAGCACTCCACGTGATCTTTGCTTTAGGACTGGATATGGTGAAGGGGTCAGAGCATCTTTTGCACCCACTGGTGGTGAACTCGGGTAATCGCTTCCTAGCAGAAGTCTCCCTCTCTTCTCAGACTTCTCTCCCATTCACTCTTGTTCTCTTCCTGCCCCAGCTCAGTGGCACACTATCCTGCCCAGTCTGGTCAGCAAATTCATTTGCCTGGCCCTCTGATGTCAGTAGTAGGACCTAACTCAGTTTTAAAAGCCCAGGCAAAAGGTGGTTTTTCTTTTGTCTCCCTGTGGTGATAAGGTGCAGCCTTACAAATGGTTACCAGCATGGTTGGTGGTTCAGCTGATATTTCCACCATGATGGTGTGAAAACACATGCTGAGATGACAGATGACTGGAAGCCCACTTGTATGAACAGCATCTCTATAAAACCATACCTGCATGCTGCCTCCGCCAGTAGTGGCAATGGCTTCTGGGGACATAGCCAGGGACCTGCAGGGAAATGCCTCCCATGTTTCCAGCTGTATTGGAGGGGTATCTGAAAGGCATCAGAGAAGGATCAGCAACTGGGTACTTTAGCCAGTGAATATATCATTACAGAACTTAATAAGATACGTACATGCATCTTACTTTTCGTGAAATTACAAAATTATAAAAAAGAAAATTAAATAATTAAACTATAAATGGAAATACATACTATTTGACCTCCAAGGAGATATATCCTTTAATATTACAATATCTCTTAATAACAGAAGAAGTGTTCATTTTCAGTGTTCAACTGTTCAAAGTCGTTTGGTTGCTTTTTTATTTATACTGCTTTTAGTTGTTTTTTTTCCCACATCTGTTACTGTGCCTGGATTTTTTTTTTCCCTGTTTTTGTGGAGGAGTTGCTTTGACCTTTGGCCTGATGTTTCATATATCTGGAAAATGTAACTGTCTGGAAACTTTCCATTTGCTGCTTTTTGCTCAAGTATTGAGGTTGAGAAAAGAAGGAATAAACAGCCTGCATTAAACCTGTGATCCCTTTCCCTCTGGTTGGGGCTGTGTTCAGGGTTACAGAGGAGGTAGCAAGATTTTCGGCCAGATCACTTTCAAACTTCTGTAACAGAATGGCTGAGCATTTGCTTACTTCTGTAGAAAGCTAAAAGGATGGAAGTTAACATTTCATTGAAGAGAAGGAAGAAGTTGTGTAGGTGTTCTAATAAGGACTGCATGATGCCAAAATCTAAATAATTAATTTACAAACACATGCTTTTGGGCATATTGCAGACATAAGGTAATACCCTTAATTTTATTCAGACCTGAAGCGAATTCCTAATGTGTTCTGACTCAAAAAATAGATGAGAAGAGAGGTGATATAACTGCAGTGTTTAATGTGCTGTAGAACCCACCCAGCTCATGTGTCAGTGTAGGTGTAGCAGAAAAGAGCTCTGTGCAGGTTCCTGCATGAGAAGTGTAATTTAGTAAGGCTGGATAGTGCTGACTGGCTGTATTGCCTGTGGCATTTCCAATGTCTCTACAGAGTGCTCTACAACCATAACTTCCCTTTTTTAAT